AAACATTTTATTAGAAAGTCGTGGCCTTCTAATATGACTTTTGCAGATATGACTCAGGGTGGCCTTCTAATGGGGGTGGCCTTCTAATATGGGGTGGCCTTCTATTCTGGGGGGGAGTTTATTAAGAATTAGAAAATTCTCTTACGATATGTAAATTTTGATAGTATTTTTGACCAAACAAGAATCCGATCGCTATCTTTTTACTATGCGGAAGAACATCAATGATTTGCTTTGCATTACTAGTATATTATACTAAGATATTTTGATATTAAGCGTTGTTGGATGATAATCGATTGATAAAGAATACGAAATTCCATGAAAAATATTTTCACCTATTTCTTTGTAAACAAAGAACATGATATTCTTTCCTAAATCAGTGTTCAAAATGACCAGAGAAACTTTTTTTGTGCTTTGGGAAAGCAACACAATTTTTGTAAAACATTTATAACTTTATGTTTTTCGTTTAATGTTTTTTCGTACATCGTAAATAATTATAGTGTTAATTTATTTCTACTGTTCCATTACGGCGATCATTAACAGTGAGGAAAAATCGAAATAAATACATACATGTTTTATTTTTATTTTGTTTTAATAAAGAAATAAAATTTTATCTTTAATTATAATACGAAAATACAATATAAAATCGATAGGTAAAACCGATCAACATCGTTAACTTTTTTGAATCTTGTCAGATCTATAAAAAATATCATTTTAATTTATTTCTCCTACATTATATCTATGATGGTGACAAAAAAGGTTTAACAACAACGTATTTTTTTTTCTATAATGTTAACTAATTTCTGTTTTTAATCAAATTATCTTGTCTGATATGAATATTTAGATTAATAATTGTGCATTTCAAGTAGTTATCCGATTAAATCATCTAATGTTTAGACTTGAATATACACATCTTGTATCTTATGAGTACAAAAATATTTCAAATGTTTTTTGAAAAGATACGCATCTTCGAAAGAGATACTAGCAGTGTTTTTTTTTGTTAGATATGTATTTCCAGGAAACTGTCACGTATTTCAGAACAATTATTAATTGTTTAAGCAGTGTCATTTTAATATGATAAATCCGATGCTTTTCTCTGATCAATTCTAACTACGTTTTGTATCAATCACCATAATGATGTTAATAGATACCTGAGTCGCATTTTATTTCTTCATAGTTCTCATACTGCAATGTGCATATGAGTTAATGCCGATCTCCTCCTAAATAAAAGCCTTCAATTTAAAGCGACGACTTGTGCATATAATTACGTCTTCTCTCATAATAAAATCTTTTACATAAAAAGTTTTACATCACTAATTAAAAACAAATATAAGTATATGACATATGGGTCATCTTTTGGACATTATAAACGCTTGCCGTTGCAATATCAAATGATCATTGAATCGACAAAGAATGTTGATCATCATGAAGACTAATGCAGATATGAATATAGTATTGAAGCATTGTCAAGCTTAAAATGAAAAAGTGTGCGTGATGGGCCGTGGCTCTAGACCGTTGGGTCACAAGTACAACCTACATTTTAAGTGACTGATGTCATTTGATGCAAATGATTTGCATTTTTGGCTTCTAAAAATGAATGAAACGACAGTTCGGCTGAATACATTTACAGAAGCCGTCTCTATTATAAAATTTACAAGTTGGACGAGAATCATGTTTAACATCTTCACTAGCTATAACTCATCGAAAAGAAAATTTTGTTGACCAAGTTGTAGCTACAATTTGATCATGATTATTCAATAATATTTTCTCAAATATTATGGTCCCATATAGACCAATGATATAGAAATTCAAGAATAATAATATTTTTTTTCAAAACAAAGATCATCTTTTTATCTTCATCATCAAAATGAGCACGACTATATGTCTTGTTATCTCGAGGAACTAAAGGATGAACCAAATTAACATTATTTATTAACATTAATTTTATATATATCATCATCTGACGAGTCAGCATTCGTTTGAGCATGCTGATTACAATTATCTTTCGATATTGTTGACGGAATCAAAATTTTAGTTTCATGTTTTTTTTTGTCGTTCTTTAATATTAGCTTTGTACAAGAGACGTAACACATCTATTTTAATTTCAGTTGGAATTAATGTACCCGTTTCAGCTAATGAATCAATAAGTTTTGTACGAGACGTCTTCATCACTTGATTATTCTTTGCTGTTGCCAATGGAACTGTTCGTTTTTGTTTGTTTTCTAAAAATAGTATTACGAACAATCTGACTTGGGTTGCAAAATGATATTGGAGCGCGGCATGTGTTGCTTTGTTTGACAACTTAACTTAAATAAACTACTAATGTTTCAACAAGTTATAGAGAATGTTGCAAAATAAACTTTCACTACACGTGAATAACAGAAAGATGATAAACGATATTAACCGATTAACAGCCAATAATAATGAAATTCAACAGGAGTGTGTCTTTTTCTAACACCTGAAGCAATGGGTAAGAAAGAAAGAAGAGATATAGTCGAGTCCACATGAATTTTTTCTAATGTCTCGATAGCTCCTGTTTAAAGCATTAATAAAAGAATATTCTTCTCGGTTGAATCTTTCATGATATTGCCACTGTCTTCAGGCATGTCTATGAATGAAATTTCAGGGCAAAATTCAATTATTTGACTTTTCGGCAAATATCTAAAGCTAGATCGATGATCCAATATATTGATCATAACTTGGCTCCAGAGACTCATAACGATGAACACCTTCAGGACTTGTCTAGTCTAACCTACACCTTCTTATAATCTCAACATCAACACAAACGGTAGCCATCACTTTCTGTTAGTTATTTTCATTGTTAAAGTTAACAGTTGTACACGATTATGCGTATCTTTGATCAAATGTCATAAGATCCATATTCTTGTACAAAAAATCAGTTTTATTAAAAATGAAGATTGACATTCAAAGTAATCGTGTTGAAGATAAAAGTCGAACAGAATCTTCGACATCATATAAATAAAAAAGTAATTGCCAAGGAAGTGGACATTTTCTAATATCAACATTCATTTCTCTTGTATTTTTTGTTCGTTCATTCAAATAAATTATTTTTTGATTATCACAATCAATTAAGAGTTCGATTTCAAATATCGTTTCATCATCCATATCATGACGAAGTTCATAGGAAGACAAGCCAGAACCACAACAACAAATACCATCGTCGCTACACCATCCATAACTTGATTTAACTATATGGAATTCTTTATTGAGTATGGACGTATATTTTGAGATAATATTAAACGACATAATATATTCTGAATCTTTTTTATTCATTAAAAATCGAATTTTATATTTGCCTGATGAATATTCCTTCATTCCACACACAAATCCATTGTCTCTATTCGGTCCATGATGATAAGTCAAATAACCATTTTCTGCAATACATACATTACCAAAGGATATTCCAAATCGTTCGTCTTCATCTAGATGTTGTTGCATAGTTAAAGAAACAAATATTTTAGCCACAAGTAATTTTGTTGGATCTTCACTAACAGTCGTCAAAGAAGAAACATTAGTAACATCATGTTTAAGTTTTTCTAACATGTTTGTCCATTTACGAAGATCAGTTTCAACAAAATCGTCATCGATTCGAGCTTTTCGTAATTTTTCAGCAAGATGATGCAATTCTTTCGATATCATTTCTAAAATAAAAAAAAACAATATTAACAAATGAAAATTCATAAAAAATCAATTGCATTCACCTTGTTGTGAACCGAATAATGTTTCAATTTGTAGTCGTGCTTCATTTGCTGTTTGTTGAATTTTTTTAATAGATTCTTGTTCCCATTTGTCAATTTCCTTGAGAAGAAATTGATTATTATTTTCTTTGTTTTTATCTTCCAAAATCATTTGATGTAGAATATCATGTTCAAGAACAATTTCATCTAACTGATGACTAAGAAGATTTCGATGTTCATTAACATGTTTTCGACAAAATATTTGTGAACAACCTTCACATTTCAAAGTACCTACGGTCTTACAATCGTCTGAAGTACAACGAAATTTTGGCGATGATGAAGTGGTCATGAAAACGAATTTGTTTCAAACGTAAATGACAACAAAAAGA